CTGTAACAATACTCTGTTAACCATGATTGCCTTGTTCTGATTAAAGAAAGGACATTCTAACCTGGCTGGGAGTTGTACACCCCCAGGACCTGAGAGTCAACCATGGACCTGACAGTCAAACTTGGACCTGGGAGTCAACCTTGGAATGTGGTCCATTCTCATTCAAGAACTGCCTATTATCACGGAAAGTTTAACAACCTTATTGCCCAAACAATGGAATCCCGCCCCAACCCCTATTGCCTACTTCCCCATGCCTATAATTCCTACTTGCCCATGTAATCTTTGTCCTACCCTATATATGCAGCTGGTTTATGGTGGGTTGCAGAGCTGATTTTTGTGGATGATCTGCTGTTTGAAGATAACCTTGGGCATATTATGAATAATGCTGCTATGAACATTCTGCTCATGGTGTATAGAATATAGTGTACATAAATATTTAATAAGCTTTCAAATTAATAACAGCCCACATGCCATCAAAAGAAAGAATACGTAAAATCAGCAACTACTGCTACAGGCATAGAGCTGAATTGACCATCATAATGTTGAGAAAAAGAAACCAACCTATGAGATATGATTCATTTATAAAAAGTTCAAAAACAGGTAAAACTAAACTGCTGTGATTATCCTAAAAAAAGTCAGGAAACCTGTTACTTTAGAGCAGTGGTTCTAAACCTTCCTAATGCCGCGACCCTTTAATACAATTCCTCATGTTGTGATGACCCCCAACCATAAAATTATTTTCATTGCTACTTCATAACTGTAATTTTGCTACTGTTATGAATCATAATGTAAATATCTGATATGCAGAATGTATTTTCATTGTTACAAATTGAACATAATTAAAGCATAGTGATTAATCACAAAAACAATATGTAATTATATATGTGTTTTTCTGATGGTCTTAGGCAACCCCTGTGAAAGGGTCATTCGACCCCAAAAGGGGTCACCACCCACAGGTTGAGAACCGCTGCTTTAGAGGAAGGGAAGAAGTGCTACTGGAGGGTACGTGTGAATGGCTCTCAAGGGTGCCATATTCTATGTCTTGACCTTGACAGCAATAATCTCTGTACTAATATTTTAATAACTTATTAAAGTGTAAGTCATGTTTATGTGCTTTTCTAGATGTTACTTTCCACAATCACACATACACAAAAAAACACATTTAACTTCTAGATGTACATTAACATATAGACATTACCCCAAGTAAGGGAAAAAAGAAAAAGTGTTATAATTTATAAATGCTAATCAAAACAAAGTACTTGATGGATACAATCAAAGGATTTAAATTGTTGAAACAGTCTGTAAGTTTTCTCTATTTTTTATCTGAGATATCTGAAAATATTCAAGCCACCAGAATTGGCCAGAGATAGAGTCCCAGTGTTTGCTTCCTCTTCTTACTTCATGTCCTCGAATAATGGCTCTTTTTTTCCCATCCTGGTTGGGGGGGGGGGGGGGGGGGGAGACAATCTTTTTCTCTCCTGCCTGTGCCTCCACCATCGCTTAGCTATGTGGCTACTGCTTTGCCCAGAGAGGGCTATTGTCATGAGGAGGGAGACACAGGAGGGAGAGACATCCAATTCACCACTAGGGAGGATAAGTGGCAAGAGAATAAGATGGTCTGTGCTCCAGCAGACAAAATAAGGCAGTGCCATGCAGGTCAAATAAATAAATAAATAAAATGCACGCCTTGTAAAATGGGATGATTCTTTAGATTCATGGTGATTTCAACATTTTTCACAACTGCACTAATTTTTTTGTTAAGCAGCACACTTATTAGACAATTGAGAGCTGACTACACATCTTTTGAACGATACCAAAAGACTCTCCTACAATTCTGCTTAGTGCACATGCCTTCAAGTGGATATCTATGCCTATATTCATTTCATACGAACTGGAGAAATATTGTTTAGCATCGTTTATTTAAGGACATAAAAGATAAGGTAGATGACACATTTCCTTAAAACTCAGACTTGTGCCCTGTCTGGTTTGGCTCAGTGGATAGAGCATCGGCCTGTGGACTGAGGGGTCCCAGGTTCAATTCTGGCCAGGGGCACATACTGGGGTTGTGGGCTCAATCCTCAGTGGGGAGCGTGCAGAAGGCAGTCGATCAGTGATTCTCTCTCATCATTGATGTTTCTGTCTCCTGTTATGCCCAGATTTCAGGATCCCCAAAAGACCACCAGGGAGCCAGCCGAGTCCGATGCAAAAGCAAAGAGTCTTTATTCGAGCTAGCTTGGCTCTCCAACCACACTCACCGACGCAGCGGCAAGCAGCATAGAGAGCGCTAGCTCTGTGGGGAGAGGGGTTTTATAGGGGGGTTGAAGTAAGGGGAGGAGAGAGGACTGTGGGCCCTGCCGATTGGCCAGGCGCCAGTCGGTGTCTTATTACACAGGATGTGGTCATATCTATAGCGCGCACTTCCCTTGATTATCATTGGTTAGTTTAAAGAAATCCTAGGTGTGGCTAGCAGAGGCTTGGGCTTCCGGGAAGAAACTCCTTGCTGAGCACATGGCTAATGGCGGCTGCCCAAAAATGGAGGATCTGGGGTAAGATGGAGGGCATAGCCCTCGACCTTTCATCTCCCTCTTCCTCTTTCTTCCTCTCTGAAATCAATAAAGAAATATATTTATAAAAAACAACTCAGACTTGTTTGTTTGTTAGTCCTCACCCAAGGATATATTTTCCATTGACTTTTAGGGAAACTAGAAGAGAGGGAGGGAGAGGGAGACAAAGGAAGAGGGAGAGACAGATGTGAGAGAGACTCAGTGACTGGTTGCTTCCTGTATGCATCCCAATGTGGCAGGATAGAACCTGCAACAGAGGTACATGCCCTTGACTGGGAATTTGAGGCTGCGGCTCTTTGGTATACAGGCTGACACTCTAACCACTGATACATACCAGCCAGGGTATACTTATGAGAGAATGAGAGTAGAAAACACGAATAATATCTTTATGATTATTATAAAAATAGTGTTGCTCTTGTGGCCCTCCTGAAAGGGTCCCCACACACATTTTGAGAATGGCTATTATAGACCAGCCCTGGTATTCCCATTTGCCCTCCTACCGACTATAGGTACGGGCACTATTATGCAACTCTGGGAAATGAGAGCTAACTTTAGCTGGAGGGTTTCTGAGAGAGTCTCAATCTTAAATAAATACATGCTTTTCCATACTAGACACTGTACATTTCATGTGACACTCAGAACAGCAGTAGTCACCTTGGGACCCAGGAGTAAGTAAGCCTCCCAGGACTGATCAACCTGCCGCAAGTAGCAAAGCAGAAAGATGGACCTGGGTCCTCTCAACTAGCATAGCAGAGGCAATGAAGTAGCCAACCTTGGAATTTTCCTTTGGGCTAACCCCATCTCTCATTGGATTTTCTGTTACTTGTAGTCAAACATGTTCTAGCTGGCACATCTCAGAACCTAGTTTGCTGAACACATTCTGAAAATCACTATTATGCACAGTACCTGGCACACAGTAGGAACTCAATAAATATTTGTTGAATAAATATGTGAATAAATAAGTACACAAACCTTAGTGGATTCGGTAGATAAAATAATAAAATTCTGACTAATTCTGTGTTGCTAGACATCATGTAGTTCCCAGATTGTCAATATTTCTAACAAAGGTCATTATGAATGTCACAGCATCAAAAATGGCCACATACAGTACTTGTCAAGGGAGCCAAGAGGGTTCAAAATCGCTTTCCTTTGTTCTGCACCAACTAAAAGCCAGGGGTATGAAAGGTAAGTCTATACCAGTGATGGCGAACCTATGACACGCATGTCAGAGGTGACACGCAAACTCATTGTTTTGGTTGATTTTTCTTTGTTAAATGGCATTTAAATATATAAAATATCAAAAATATAAGTCTTTGTTTTACTATGGTTGCAAATATCAAAAAATTTCTATATGTGACACGGCAGTAGAGTTAAGTTAGGGTTTTTCAAAATGCTGACACGCCAAGCTCAAAAGGTTCGCCATCACTTGTCTATATATACTATATACAGACCACAACCTGCTCAAAGTGGTGACCTAATAAAGAGCACTACTTATTTTCCATTTCCCCTGAGCATGAATCAACTGAAGGAGCTTCTCCATGAAATAAGCACCAAACAGATTTGTGAACAGAATGCTACAAAACATGCTGTTTATGGAAGAAGAAAAAAAGACAAACCAAATACCTAGCCTTCAATTACTGTCATCAGCTAGGGGCACAATGGCCTTGTCAGAAAATATTTAAAACTTCTAGAAATATAATCAAATATATAATTAAGAAACTTATGTTCAACTATGCTTAAGCTTAACAACATTCTTCCTTACTGAGAGCCTGATGCCAGTATTTTTAAATTACTTTAATGTTTCTTTGCTTCATTATTTTAAGATTGGTCAATCTGTCCCTGTGTTTGTGGGTTTTTTTTAAAAAGTTACAATAAAATATTCTAATTTCCATAAAGTGTTTATGAAAGAAACAAATGATATTATTCCCCTTAAAACAATGACGTGTTAAGAAAATTTCCACTAGGAGGAGCTGGCTTTTTTTCTGTTGAGTCAGCAGTGTTTCACCTCTGAGACACCCTAATCAAAAACACATACCTGAAATTTGCAGATAATTTCAAACAAACCTCAATCATAAACAAAATCTGGGTCTGAGGAATCAGCAGAGGCAACTGCAACCCAGGTGCAGAGCGTACACACTCTTCAGATGGCTTTGCAAAGAATTAAGGAAATTCAATCTGTCTGGAGATTTCCTGAGCTCCCTTCTTCCACCCATGTTCCCACCGTGCGGGGGAAAGAGCTATTCTCTGGACCTGGTTTCCAAGTGGATCCTTTCAAGATAGTGCTGCCTTCAGGCTACTAAGCTAGAAACGCCACCCTTGTTCTTTCTCAGCACCTCACAGCTCTCGCTGGGACTCGAGAAACACCTGTCTCGTGCATACATTCTGTTAGAATACTGGTTATTTCTTTCCTTGCATTCTTGTCTTCAATTCACTTACCTGACAGTCAGACTGTGAACTTTTGGTGAGACCAGTTAGAAAAATGGGCTGAGGGGCACATTAGATATTAAAATACTAGAAATCTTCTTGGCTCTGTCACTGGTGACTCGGCTCCAAGTTACTTCTGCCTCTTTCCACTGTTGGTTTGTTCCACCGGTAATTTATTACTAAATAAACAAAAACAAACAAAAATCCCACTCATTTATTGGGAACTTACTTTATGACAAGAACTCTGAAAAACATTGCAAATAAAAAGATGGCAGTGTTCCTTGATCTAACACAACCTGTGGCTAATGAGGAAATCAGGGTCTATAAACAGATAAAACATAATCCTTTGTGGGAAGGGCTAGGAGAGAAGGAGCCATACAGAAACGATGCATGAGCTAAGCCAATGAAGTATGAGCAGCGATGAACCAGGAAAAACATCAAAACCAAGCCCAGGATGCTACTACACTTCATAGGAAGAGTTAAGTTACGTTTGATTCATGTTTCTCAAACTTGAAGAAAAAGATTCTTGAAGAGCAGGCAGACAGCTCTGGTTGGAGGAGGGTGGTGGTGGGGTGGTAGAGGGACTGAGCGAAAGAGAAAAAGAAAAGACAGAGAGAACTCCCGGACATGAACAACAGTGTAGTGATATGGGCAGGGGCGGGGGCTGTGCAAGAGGCACAGCGGGGATAAATGGTGATGGAAAAAATAAAGTAAGGAATGAATCTTGAGAGCTCTTAGAATCGTCTAAAATCATTATTCTATTAAATACTAACAAACATAAAACTAGCAAAATATGTATTGTACTTATAACTTATACAACTATAGATATTTTTAAATGCACAAATACCAACAACTCTACAAAATCAATAAAATTTCAATTGACAAAGTGATTTCAATGTGATCAATAATGTAGGTTACTAAGCCTCACTTAGACTAGTCAGGTGGACTTGGTACTGACTGCTACTGGCAGCTTCTGTTGTGTATGCTGGGGATAGTTCAATTCGTGAAACAGAAATGTCTCATTCAGCTCAAGCACATTATTTACATTTTTACCTCTGTTCATTTTTCAATATCTAAAAGTAGTGCTCCTTGTCACCAATACAAACACAACTGCAGACACTGACATCTTAAGACAACATTTAGTTAAAATTTGGTTGCTTGGAAACAATCGATTTTTTTTAAGTTACCACCAAAATGACAAATAAAAGGTAAAATCCTTATAGAGAACCATTGAATCCTAATAAAACCCACCTGCTTAATCCCTAATAAATCCCATCTTTTGGGGGCTGCCAGCCTCTGAAGGAGTTTAAATAACTGCATGTTATGGGTCAATGAACTCACACAGAAAAGCATTTTTGTGGTTAGCTTTTAGTACTATGTAAAACGAAATATCTCACTTTATTTCCTTTAAAACCTCAGCCCACATGACTTCCAGTTAAGATGGCACAGAAAATCACGCTGATGGATTCTCTCTACTCCAAACACACAGCAATGAAAAGAAATATAAGAAAACTAAAAGAATGCAGGCAAATTCAAAAATAATATATAAACATCTCTATGAAATAGATATGGTGCAGACACCAAGAGGTCAGTCCTCGAAGTTAAAGCCTGGAGCCTCCAACGTTCACGATCCAAAAATAGGCACCAAAACTGGAAGTCTGAGTCCTAAGGGTTTCGAGGCCAAACATAACCCACGAAGGAGAGTGCATCAATGCTTGAAGGCAGGGTCCAAGGTGATCATTGGAGGTGGGCTCCCCATTCCTGGTTTAATATGGAGCAGTGGCCCAGGGC